CCTGCACCCGAACTCCCCATTCCGGTAGATCCCATCGATCCAGTAGAAATTAATCTTCAACTCCCTCCCCTCCCCATCCTCCGCCGTATAAAACAGATTATCCCGCCACTTCTTCATTCTCATGTCTGCCCGGCCCGTGAGCAGATAGAAACCTTTGGTGCGAATCCCCCACGATGCTAATTTCCCGAATGCGCCTTTGATCCAAAGCAGCGATCCAACGGCTAGCAGGCAGCTCCTTGTGTGTGCAGAAGAACGGTTCCCAGCGGTACAGACCGTTTCTCAGCCTCCACCGGCCCGGGACCGAGGCTCCGGTACAGGGGCTGCTGGGAAGCTCGGAGTTTGGTTTGGAATAGGCTCGGGACGGGCTGCTGCCTTGTTGAGGAAGGAAGAGGCGGGTCTGCTGTGCTTGTGTGGTGGAGTTGGGTGCAGTGCGGGGCAGAACGGTGAGGGGCCAGGAGACTAGGTCGTGTTGAGCTGTCTTGTTGAGGTGCAGATAGTAGTGCGGTGAGAAACGGAGGTTGGCACAGCCTATGTGCATCGTGGCCCTGAAAGGGAAGATGGAGAGCGAGGGAGAGGTGAGGAGAGGTGAGGAAAGGTGGGTGCAGATAGTAGTGCGGTGAAAAGTGGAGGTTGGCACAGCCGATGTGCATGGTGGCCCTGCAAGGGGAGTAGGAGAGAGGTCAGGAAAGGTAGAGAGAGGTGAGAAGTGGTGAGAAACGGAGGTTGGCACAGCCGATGTGCATGGTGGCCCTGCGAGGGGAAATGCAGAGAGGGGGAGAGATGGGGAGAGGTGAGGAAAGGTGGGGTTGAGGAACGGTGGGGAGAGGTGAGGAGCGGTGAGAAGCGCAGGTTGGCGCAGCCTATGTGCACCACAAACAGTCTGTCATATTGATCTCCCTGCAGCGCGGGGGATCCAAACACCTCATGGCACCCCATACTACTCCTCCATCCCCACCCAAACCCCGCCTAACCGTTCCCCACTGCACAGCACCCTTTTGCGCTCACAGGAATTCCCCTCCATCCCAACAGGCGGTACGTCACTCTCATTTTCCTGCAGAGCGGGGGATCCATGCAGCGCACGATGCCCCTCCCTCACTACTCCCCCAACCATTCCCCACCGCACAGAACCGTTTTCCCACTCACAAGTACTCTCCTCCATCCCACAGGCGGTAAGTCACTCTCATCTCCCTGCAATGCGGGGGATCAAGGCAGCGCACGTCCCCCGCGCCCATGGCGGGTCCGCGCATGGTAACCGCCACGTCGCGCTTCCACCACCCGCGCTCCCCCGTCTGCAGCACCCCCTCTGCCCACTGCGCGGGCGCGCGCACGGACAGGCGGAACGAGCACCGCTGCCCGCGCATGCACGTGGCGCAGCCGCGCCTGTGAATGGTGACTCCGGGGGGGGAGGGGGAGGAGTAGTCTGCTTAGGGGGAGGGGGTGTGGGGGGGCGGGGGGCGGGAGAGAAGCGGAGAAATGGCATGAAGCGCGAGCACAGACAGGCGGAGCGAGGTGCGCTGCAGGCGCATGCACGTGGCGCAGCTGCGACCATGAATGGTGATTCCCGGGGGGGAGGGGGAGGAGTAGTCTGCGTAGGGGGAGGGGGTGCGGGGGGGCGGGGGGCGGAGCTGCCGGAGCATTAGATGATTACGAGCATTCGCGCGGGCATGGGCGCGGGCATGGGCGCGAGCATGGGCACAACCCTGGGCGCGGGCAAAGGCGCGGGCATGGGCGCGGGCACAGGCGCGGGCATGGGCGCAACCCTGGGCGCGAGCATCACTCCGCCTCACCTCCCGACGACGTCCAGCACACGTGCTCCCGCTGCTCCTGCTGCGGCTGTGTGCCATCCCCGCCGCCATTCTCTCCGCCATTCTCGCCGCCATTCCCGCCGCCATTCTCGCCGCCATTATCGTAGCTGAAATCACCATACAGACCTCCGACCCCCTCTCCCCCTCTTAACTCCACTCCCAAACCTTCCGCCGCTGATCCCGCGTACCCTCCGCGCCCGCCGTACCCCAAAGCCAGAACTTTCCGCAGATTCCCCAGCGAACGGTTCCCCCAAATCTCCCCCCAACCTTTCCCCCAATCCCCCAAGACGGAACCCCGAGCCGACACTTCCCGCGCATCGGATGCACCATCCGCGCGTGCGGCTTCCCCCGCTCCATAATCCGCCGATTCCGCCCAGTTTTGCGGTGCGGATCGTGCTATAACGAGTATAAAGAGTAACGCGTTGACAGCAAGCAGCATATAGTGAAACCAGTCCATGCCGTGCATGCTTCTATAACTTCTGCTCCCCTTGTTTGAAGAGCCTCCCGACTTGGTAGTCACAAACGCGGACAGAGGATTCGATATAAAACGAATGATGGGAGAATACACGCCAGCGAAGAAAGAACATATTGAGGAGGAGGAACCGCTTGAGCCGCTGGGAACGCGGGAAATGGCATCGGCTGTTGGATTCAACATTTGAAGAGCCTCAATATTCGACGAGGAAGGGACTTTCAAGCTGGGAACGCGCAAAAAGGTATCGGCTGGTGATTTCAGGCCGACAAGACTGTCGGTCGCGTCGGTTTCTGGGAGTTTGTCCATGGATTTCAAAGCCGTCGGGTCCGTCCGCTTTCCGTCAACGTTCCGTCAGCGACTGCCGCGTCGGCTAAATACAGAGTGCGAGATGTATCGCTGATGAGAAAAAAGCAAGTGCTTTGGCTGTCCTCGAGGAAACGCAATATTACGGTTATTTGAATGCTTGCAAACGGGGAGGGCGAACAAGCTGCTCCACAGCGACCTACGTAAACTGACACAGATAGCGAAACTGGGAACGGCAAAGGAAGAGCAACTGGAGAAAGATGGACGCAAGCCGCATTGGTGTAATCAGTCGCGGCAGTCCCGGGTGTCATGAACTTCGACGCTCAGAAGCTACCAACTAGGGCCAGGATCTTCGAACGACCTGCTATGACCGATAAACGCGTGGGGAGCACGGGAGTCTCGCTGTGAGGCCATGTAGCGAGCAGGAAGCGAATGAGCGGCAGGCAGCTCGCTGCAGAGAGAATTCTCTACGGGAACTTCCCCTACAATTCACGCTTGAGCTGTACAGTTGTCACAGACAGACAGTACTACTGTATACAGTATATTCACAGACTTTACCGTACTATACCCCTGCTTTTTGTTTCCTCGGGACGCGACGTGAAAGGACTGCGGTGCGCTGCGCAAGCGTGTGGTTGGGTCGGTCGGTGCGCCGTGCGCGATTTATCTGTCGCAGGGGACTGACACAGGCAAGTCGCACTCAACTGACCGACTGGCACATGCGATTCCCTTCTCCACGGCTCGAGGCCAAATTGATGTCCGAAATACATTGGCTGGTTTGCGAATTGTGAGTTACCACCTCACAGCTGGCTCTACATGCATTCTTAGGAATAAAGCGAAAGTGGAAAACGAAGCAGCATTAATCGGGAGCATCTGCTTGTTCCCTGAATCTGGTCTATCCACTTCCACGGCAGTCCTAGAGGTGTCTAATTTCGACTTACCTTGAGATTGCCTTCCGTCATTTCCATGCATTCGTCTGATTCCGCTGCGATTGCACCTACAAATCCTCCAAAAGCTGCCGGTAACCTTTTTTTTCTAGGCTTCTTATTGGAGCCTCCCGTCACACTAGCAGCCAAACGTCCAGCGCCGTTGCTTTTATTGAAATGGCCTTCATGGGAGCAGGACGCAACTGGTGCAGAGTATGTAGATGGCACGAGGATTCACACGCTCAACCACGGGACATGTACGCTTCAGGCTCTCCGAACCGAACACCATTCTCGTGCCGGTCGCATCGCACGGTACTGTACGAGAGCTCGCCGTGTCAAGATGCAGCTCATTCGGCACGGCAGCTGTCACTGAGACAGTGACACTAGAATCGCACGCTCTGCGTTGCATGTTGGAGCCGCATACTGCTGGGTCCAGTTTACATGCATACGGTATAGGAAGCTGAGAACTTGGGACCAGCTGGTACTGTAGTACTCTATGCTGCTCGCGTGCGTCGAGACAATAGTACGACACTAAAGTTCCCCTTTTTTTGGCGGTACACCCGTCCTAGTTCCACCCGTCCTAGTTCCTTCAAAACCACGCCTCACGGAACCACGATACAGGGGATTCCATGATACATTTATGAGGCGCCTCAAATCCCGCCTCCCTACAGGGGATTCCATGATGCATCATCCTTCCTTGGAAACCTCCGTCATGATCGCGGATCGCCCGAATGCGTGCATCCCTCCCGCTATGCTCCACCCCACGTTATGAAACGCGCCGCTTTGCGCATTCAGCCCGGTTCTTACTCCTGCTCCCCACCGCCACTGCAGTAAAACAGTACCCTTTTCGAGAATTTGAAATAGTAAATATCTTTCACTGTAGCGCTCCAGTCGTGCCGACTTCTAGGGCATGACTCCCCTGCAGCATTGCAGCCTTGCCCCCTCCCAGCTGCTTCTCGCTCTCCCGGTTCGTCCCTCTCCCCCACCTCCCCCCCTCCCCCCTCACCTCTTCCTCCTCCCCAACGACCCACTCTCTCACTGCTGCTGCTCCTGCACTCGACGAGTGTTCTCACGTGAATGCGGAGCACGAGAGTTCTGTCCGAGGGTTTGAGACATCTTAGAACGCGATGCAGAGTTTTCTTCTGAACTTTGTGCCGTCTTCCCCTGGACATTAACCGGCTGGCCTTAAATCTTCCGTTCATACCTCTCGTCGCGTCCCTTCAGTCCTCTCTACCTCGAGAACACCTCGTTCTCTCCGCCGTCCGTTAGACACGCCCCCTTTATAAGATCATCCACTAAGCCGTACGCGAGCTGCTTGTATCGAAACCCCGCTGCCTCCCTCTCTTGCGCAAGCCTCAACCGTGGTCAGCTGCGTAGCCGGCTCGGTGATTCCGAACCACATATGAAGCAGCAGCTCTGCACACTTGCTTAGAATCTGGAGGTCTCTCACATCTGAGCAGCTCGGCCACACGCTCATAGTGGTTGCCGTTGAAAGCCATGGTGGCTCCATTTCATCGATCCTTTTCCGACGAGAATCGCATCGTCTCGCCGACCACTGCACAGCTGACACGTGGAGCATCAGTAGGAGGAGCAGTCGGAGGAGCAGGAGCGTCGGTCCCAGCAGGCGCCCTTGCACCAGTGCGTGTAGCTCACGGTCCTATCTATCCCACTGCTAGTGGGTATGCTACTAACGGGGACGGGAACTCTGGGGGCTTGCGGGGTTCCCTGGGGAGCGGAGGCGGCAGCGCCAGGGCGCTTTCAAGGTCCAGCAGCGGGGCAGTTAATAACGCGGATGGAGTGGGTACTGTTAGTAACGGAGAGGCGGGGAGCGGGAGGAGGCTAAGGCGCGTGGAAAGCGGGGAGGGGAGCGGGAAGCAGCACTGGTCCGGTACAAGCAGCAGCGCGCTCTCTGCTTATAACGAAACGCCTCGCGCCTGGGGAAGCCACGTGTCCGGCAATGGTGACAACAGCGGGGGCGCCATTCTCGAGCTGGGTGACTATAACGACCAGGTCCCCCCATCCCCGTTCCCAGACCCTATCAAGGAAGAGGAAGCTTCCGTGGAAGGCAGGAATGTTCCTATGCCGGATGTGACTCTAGAAGAAGAGCTCTCTGAGTCTCTTATGCCGCTCAAGTGGGTGTTCTTCCCCGAAGCAGACCCCATTCAGCAGTTTCGCGGAAAGCCGTGGCGGGAGAAGATCTGGGTGTTTCTTAAGGGCGTGTTCCCAATCCTCGCATGGCTTCCGGAGTACGACTGGCGGTACTACCTGCTTGGTGACATTATCGGAGGCGTTTCCATCGCTATCATGTCCGTTCCCCAGGTGAGCCGTGAGCAATGGGCGGTGGGCTGTGAGCGGTGGGCGACAGGAAGCGGGCAGTGGGTGGTGAGCGTTGCATTGCTGCATTGGATTGGCGGTACTACCTGCTGGGTGACATCATCGGAGGTGTGTCCATTGCTGTCATGCCCGTGCCCCAGCTGAGCTGTGCGCTCTAAGCAGTGCTCTCTCGCTGTGCGCCGTGCTCTGTGGCCGATGAGCGATGAGCGATGAGCGATGAGCGATGAGCGATGAGCGATGAGCAATGAGCGATGAGCGATGAGCGATGTGCGATGAGCGGCGGGCAGGGAGTGGTGAGCGTTGCATTGCTGCATGGCGGTATGGCGGTGTGTTGTGACGTGTGGTGCCTAGTTGTGAGCAGGGGCCTGCATTCAACTTCTCCCCACTCATCCTGCCTCTCCTTGCCTCCCATGACCATGACTGCCCTAGTGACTCCTCCTCCCTATCTTCTCCGCGCCCTCCCCTCCCTCTCTTCCCTCGCTCGTCCCTCTCAGGACGTCTCATACGCTAAGTACGCCAACATGCCTGCCGAGTTCGCTCTCATCGTTACTCTCCTTGCCTCTCACGACTGCTCCCGTATCTCCTCCTCCCCGTCTCCTCCTCCATCATCCCTCTCTCCCCCTACCAGGACGTCTCATACGCCAAGTACGCCAACATGCCTGCCGAGTTCGCTCTCCGTGAGTTCCCCTCTCTCCTCTCCCATCCCCTCTCTCCTCTCCCATCCCCTCTCTCCTCTCCCATCCCCTCTCTCCTCTCCCATCCCCTCTCTCCTCTCCCATCCCCTCTCTCCTCTCCCATCCCCTCTCTCCTCTCCCATCCCCTCTCTCCATCCATCCTCATCCTCTCCCCTCATCCTCTCCCCTCATCCTCTCCCCTCATCCTCTCCCCTCATCCTCTCCCCTCATCCTCTTCCTCCCTATCCTCGTCCAGTCCACCTCGTGATCGCCACCACATCAGTCGTCTCTAACCTCGCCTTTTGAGGCGTCTCAAAAGCCATCACATCAGTCGTCTCTTACCTTCTCGCCACGGCTCTGCATGTCCAATGGATCCCCTCTCCTTTCCCTCCTTCCCCTCTCCTTTCCCTCCTTCCCCTCTCCTTTCCCTCCTTCCCCTCTCCCTCCCTATACCCTCCCCCACCAGGCACCAGTTTCATCCCGCCGCTGCTCTACGCCATACAGGGCTCGTCCAAGCACCTCATGGCAGCCCCCGTGTCTCAGCTGCTCGGCACCTCCCTCAGCCTCAGCGCGCTAATGAATGGACCCCTCCCTTCCTTTCCTCCCTCCACTCCCCTCCCCCACCAGGCACCAGTTTCATCCCGCCGCTGCTCTACGCCATACAGGGTTCCTCCAAGCACCTCGTCGTCGCGCCCGTGTCTGTCATCTCTCAGCTGCTCGGCACCTCCGTCAGCGCGCTCGCCGACCCCGCCACCGACCCGGCGCTCTACACCAGCCTCGTTGTCACTGCTACCTTCTTCTGTGGCCTCTTCCAACTCATCATGGGGCTCTGCCGGTGAGAGGACTAGCTAATGTGTGTGCCGGGCGTGGCACTGTGCGGGGTTAGTGAGTGCGCCCGTGCTTGTGCGTCAGCTCATCACGGCCCGGAGCGCTCTACACCAGCCTCGTTGTCACTGCTACCTTCTTCTGCGGCCTCTTCCAACTCATCATGGGGCTCTGCCGGTAAGGGGTGGGGCGTGGCAGCGTCAGTGTGCTGGGCTGGTGTGACTGGACTTGGGCTGGGCTTGAACTGGCCGCCACCCTCAGCACCCCCACCTTCTTCTGCGGCCTCTTTCAGCTCATCATGGGGCTCTGCCGGTGAGGGGATGAGCGTCGCAGGGTTAGTGTGCTGAGGTGACTTTTGAGTCGACTCAAAAGTCGGCTCTGCCGGTGAGGGGATGAGCGTCGCAGGGTTAGTGTGCTGGGTATGTGCCTGTAGCAGGCTTGTGTGACTGGGCGTGTGTGCTCCTGCTCAACATGGGTTCCTGTCGGGCTGCTCGCTCGCCCACCATCGCGATCCAGCAGCTGAGCTGAAGCTCATCTCTCCAACGGTGCCGTGCGGTGCTGCTTGGTGCTGTGCAGTGCTCTCTGGCCATTGCCATTCAGCAGCTGTAGCTCATCTCTCTCGAAAGCCCGCCTTTCTCTCCCCTTCCTACCTTTCTCCCCTCCCCCCCTCTCCTCAGGTTTGGCTCCTGGTGGATTTCCTGAACCAGCCGACCATTGTGGGGTTCCTGTCGGGGTGCTCACCAGCTCCCTCTCCTCTCTCGATAGCCTTCCTCTCTCCCTCTTTCACCTCCTTCTCTCTCCCCCCCTCCCTCCCTCTCCTCAGGTTCGGTTTCCTGGTGGATTTTCTGAACCAGCCAACCATTGTAGGGTTCCTGTCAGGGTGCTCCCTCACCATCGCTATTCAGCAGCTGAAGCTCATCCTGGGGTACAAGGACTTCACGCTCAGCACGAGCATCGTCAACATCATTGCCGCTATTGTGCAATACAGCTACCAGGTGGGTGCGGTGCGGTGCTTCTCGGTGCTGTCCGGTGCTCTCCCCTGTCATTCCAGTTGCAGTTCCAGTTGATATCGTTTGTGATGGGCATGTCCTTTCTCCTCTCCCCTGTCTCTCCCCTGTCTCTCCCCTGTCTCTCCCCTGTCTCTCCCCTGTCTCTCCCCTGTCTCTCCCCTGTCCCTCCCCTGTCTCTCCCCTGCCTCGCTCGTGCCTTTAACCCACGCCCATGTTATTTTCCGTTGCCATCCCCATGCCCATTCCCTTGCCCCTCCCCATGGTTGCAGTTCCAGTGGAAGGCCTTCGTCATGGGCTTGTCCTTCTTTCTCTCGCCTACCTCTCCCCTGCCTTGAGCCCGCACCTGTGTTTGCCGTTGCCTTTCCCATTCCCATTTCCATTTCCATTGCCATGCCCATCCCCATGCTCATCCCCATCCCCGTTCCCATGACTGCAGTTCCAATGGAAGGCGTTTGTCATGGGCATGTCCTTCTTCCTCCCCCCTGCCTTCCTTCTGCCTTAAATTCACGTCCTTTTTTCTCGTTCCCATTGACCTTATGCCTGCAGTTCCAATGGAAGGCGTTTGTCATGGGAATGTCATTCTTCCTCTACCTCTCCACGGTGCGCCTGCTGGTGTATCTCAAGCCCAAGAACAAGGTCTTCTATTATCTGAACGCCCTCGGCCCCCTCACCTCCATCCTCGTCTCCACCATCATTGTGGCAGCTGCAGGGCTGGCAGACAAGGGCATTCCCACTGTGAGTCCTTACTGTGCTCGCTCCCTTCCCTTAGGCTCTAGGCCATGACCGTGCTTCGAATATTCCGCATCTCCTGTGCTACCATCATTGTGGCAGCTGCAGGGCTGGCGGACAAGGGCATTCCCACTGTGAGTCCTTACTGTGCTCGCTCCCTTCCCTTGGGCTCTAGGCCATGACCGTGCTTCGAATATTCCGCATCTCCTGTGCTACCATCATTGTGGCAGCTGCAGGGCTGGCGGACAAGGGCATTCCCACTGTGAGTCCTTACTGTGCTCGCTCCCTTCCCTTAGGCTCTAGGCCATGACCGTGCTTCGAATATTCCGCATCTCCTGTGCTACCATCATTGTGGCAGCTGCACGGCTGGCGGACAAGGGCATTCCCACTGTGAGTCGTCACAGCGCTCCCTCCTCTACGCCCTAGGGCATGCGTCGTCACAGCGCTCCCTCCTCTACGCCCTAGGGCATGAGCAGCAATACCATGAGCGTGCTTGCTTTGAGTATTTCACATGCCTCCCCCACCCACCGCCCTATGCCCTTTGCCCTCCACCCTCTGCCCTCCATCCCGTTCCCACATGTCTTTTGAGTCGACTCAAAAGTCACTTAGAGTCGACTCAAAAGTCGCCCTTTGCCCGCCACGCTCTGCCCTCCATCCCATTCCCTCCTGCCCAGATAGGGAAGGTCGCCACAGGGCTGCACGGCTCAGGGCCTCCTTTATATCCTACCTCAACTTCTCTCCGCCCACCACCTTCTCTCATCTTCTCTTCTTCTCACCTTCTCTCATCTTCTCTTCTTCTCACCTTCTCTCATCTTCTCTTCTTCTCACCTTCTCTCATCTTCTCTTCTCACCTTCTCTCATCTCTCTCGCTTCACTCCGCAGGGAAGCTCGCCACAGGGCTGCACGGCGCCTCCTCCATATCCTACCTCAACTTCTCTCCGCCCACCACCTTCTCTCCGCCCACCACCACCTCTCATCTTCTCTTCACACCATGCCCCTCACCCCGCCCCCCTTCTCAGATAGGGAAGATTGCCACAGGGCTGCACGGCGCTTCCTCCATCTCCTACCTCAACTTCTCACGGGAGTACGTTGCTGACGTGGCCACTGTCGGCTTCATCGCCTGCCTCGTCTGCCTAGCGGTGAGCCCCTCTCTCCTCTCTTGGCGTCTGTCTCTTTGCCCCACTTACCCTATCTCTCATCCTCCATATCCTACCTCAATCTCTCATCCTCCATATCCTACCTCAATCTCTCCTCCTCCATATCCTACCTCAATCTCTCCTCCTCCATATCCTACCTCAATCTCTCACGGCAGTACATCGCTGACGTGGCCACTGTCGGTTGCATCGCCTGTCTCGTCTGCCTCACATCACAATGAGGCATGCCATGCCTCACATCACTCTGCCCTTCACTATTAACCTTTCATTCCTCCCCCGTTCTCCCACTTCCCTCTTCCAGCATCTCCTGCTGTGTCCCCCCCTCAACCTGTCATGTCCCCCCCTCAACCTGTCATGTCCTCTCCTGCCTTTCCGAATCCCTCCTCTGTCTTTCTCAATCCCTCCTCTGTCTTTCTCAGTCCCTCCTTTGTCTTTCTCAATCCCTCCTCATCTTTCTCCTTCCTCTTGTTCCACCCATGTGCTTCCCTGCTGCAGGAATCAGTGGGTATCGCCCGTACCTTCGCCAGCCTCTATGGTTACCACATCGATGGTAACAAAGAGGTGAGCCGGTTACCACTTGAGGATAACAAGAGATAGGTGGGTTTCTGTCGTTTTTTTTTTTTTTTTTTTTTTTTGTCGATCCACTCTTCCCGTCTAGCCAATTCCTTCCCTTCCCTTACCACCTCTATTTTTGTGTGTTTGCGTACTCCACACTCCACTATCTTTCCTAGGCATAACTCTTCTTGTTTCAATTCAACACACGGTTCCCACCGTCTCCTAAGCCACCACCCCACCTGCCCCTTTCCCCTCCTGCTTACCCCACCTGCCCATTTCACCCCACTTCTCCTTCCCTGCGTTGCAGATGGTGGCCTATGGTTCAATGAACCTGGTCGGCTCCTTCACCTCCTGCTACGTGGCAACAGGTGAGGCAGAAACTGGGGTGCAGTGAAGTGCAGTGTGGTGCGGTGCGGTGTGATGCGGTGCATAGTAGGTGAGTATCGCAGCTGAAGTTTGCCAGCAGGCACCATCGTTGAGTATCACCCAACTGAAGCTGTCACTTCCGCACCCATGCCCCTCCGTTCCCCCACGCCAGGGTCCCATTCCCCTCCCCTCCCTTCTTACCTAACACCCTTCTCATCATCCATCCTCTACCTTCACTACCTCCCCTCGTCTTCCCCCTCCAGGTTCGTTCTCCCGCACGGCGGTCAACATGCTAGCGGGCGCAAGGACAGCGCTCACACAAGTCATCATGGCGCTACTCATGCTCCTCGTGCTGCTCGTCGCTGCCCCGATCTTCAAGAACGTTCCCAATGTGCGTGATGCGGCAAGGATACTCCCTGCCCCTCTGTTGTTGTATGAATGCACGTCCTTCTTGTGCTGCTCATGCTGCTCGTCGCTGCCCCGATCTTCAAGAACGTTCCCAATGTGCGTGATACGGCAAGGATACTCCCTGCCCCTCTGTTGTTGCATGAATGCACGTCCTTCTTGTGCTGCTCATGCTGCTCGTCGCTGCCCCCGATCTTCAAGAACGTTCCCAATGTGCGTGATATTACACGAATGCTCCTTGCTTTTCTATTGTCGCATGAATGCTTCTCGTGTTGCTCCACTGTATCAGGCAGTCCCTTCGTACCAAGCCCTGTGTGCTCCCCCTCTCTCCCTCACTCCCTCTCGCCCTCTCTCTCTCACTCCCTCTCGCCCTCTCTCCCTCACTCCCTCTCGCCCTCTCTCCCTCACTCCCTCTCGCCCTCTCTCCCTCACTCCCTCTCGCCTCTCTCTGTCACTCCCTCTCGCCCTCTCTCCCTCTCTCCCTCTCGCCCTCTCTCCCTCACTCCCTCTCGCCCTCTCTCTGTCACTCTCCCTCTCTCCCTCTCTCCCTCTCTCCCTCTCCCCCTCTCTCCCTCTCTCTCGCCCTCTCCCCCCTCTCTCCCCTCTCTCCCTCTCGCCCTCTCCCCCTCTCCCCTCTCCCCCTCTCCCCCTCTCTCCCTCTCTCCCCTCCCCCTCTCTCCCTCTCGCCCTCCCCCCTCTCTCCCTCTCGCCCTCTCCCCCTCTCTCCCTCTCGCCCTCTCCCCCTCTCTCCCTCTCGCCCTCTCTCCTTTGCTTCTCCATTCCCAGAGCTGCCATCAACTGCCTAACCCACGTCTCTCCAACTCCCCCCTACTTTGGATGCATCCCCTCTGTCTCTCTTACCCGTGGCCGTGCCTCTCTGCAGTGTGTGGTAGGAGCAGTCATTGCCAATGCTGCCTTGAACCTGGTAAGCCGCCAATCAAAAGGGTTCAACCCTGATTTTACTTGCCCTCTCCATTCGTTCTGTGCTGGGGCCCTCATTCCTGTAATCTTCAATCCACCCCCTTGTCCCACCCCGCATTCCTTCAATCTTCAATCCACCCCCTTGTCCCATCCCGCATTCCTTCAATCTTCAATCCACCCCCTTGTCCCATCCCGCATTCCTTCAATCTTCAATCCACCCCCTTGTCCCATCCCGCATTCCTTCAATCTTCAATCCACCCCCTTGTCCCATCCCACATTCCCAGCTTGACTTCCATGCTGCATGGGCCCTCTGGAGGGTAGAAAAGATGGATTTCCTGGTCATGTCGGGCTGCTTCCTCGCAATCCTCTTCGGCTCCCCTGAGATCGGCCTTCTAGTCGCCATCCTCCTCTCCCTCATCAAGATCCTCCTGCGCTCGTCGCCTGCTCGCCCTCCTTCCCCCACACTGACCTCCTTCCCTCCTCTTCCAACCCCCTTTCCCCCCTCCCCCTCCCCTTCTCCCTCCTTCCCCCCCGTTCCCAGCTGGATTTCCACGCAGCCTGGTCCCTGTGGAGGGTAGACAAGATGGATTTCCTGGTCATGTCGGGCTGCTTCCTCGCCATCCTTTTCGGCTCCCCCGAGATCGGCCTTCTAGTCGCCATCCTCCTCTCCATCATCAAGATCCTCCTGCGCTCCCTCCGCCCGCACATCCGCCTGCTGGGACTGCTCCCCAACGCCGCCGCTACAGCCGTGAGCGTGCTGCAGTTCCCCAACAGCGCGCTGTGCGAGGGGATCGTGATGCTGAGGGTGGAGAGCCCGCTGTATTTCCCCGGAGCGAATTTTGTGAGGCAGCGCGTGAAGAAGCTGTGTGACGCTTACGCGAGGGGTTACCAGCAGCCAGTCAAGGTGAGCATTATTAGTGTGTCATAATGTCACCACTAGTGTTGCAGGCAGTTTCCCAACAACACGCTTATGCAAGGGGTTACCAGCAGCCTGTGAAGGTGAGCAATCGCTGAGCATCCAGGGTGAGTGGGATTGCAATATGAGACAGTGGTTGAAGAAGCTGTGTGATGCGAACGCCAGGGGGTACCAGCAGCCAGTCAAGGTGAGCAATCAGGGAAGGGAGCGTGCTGCGGTTGCCAAGGGTGAGCAATCACTGAGCAGCCAGGGTGAGTGGGCTTGCATTGTGAGACCGCAGTTGAAGAAGCTGTGTGACGCTTATGCAAGGGGTTACCAGCAGCCAGTCAAGGTGAGCAATTTCAGTGAGATTGCCATGTGCAACACACGTTCACAGCTTCTTGGCATTCACATGACTTACTTGCGTTTCCTCCACCTTTCGCTCATCCCCCCCTCTTCTTTCCCCCGCAGCACTGTGTGTTGGATCGATCAGTGATACAGGGAAATCAACGTGACGGCCATTGGAGCCATGAGGGACCTTCAGTGCTCAACCCCACCTCTTCTTTTCCCTCAACCCCCGTCCCCCTTCCCCCGCAGCACTGCGTGTTGGATCTATCAGTGATGCATGACATTGATGTGACGGCTATTGAAGCCATGAGGGACCTGCAGTACACAAATTCACCCTTCCCATCACCCATCCTCCCCATTCCCCACCTATCGACAGCACTGCGTGCTGGATCTATCAGTGATGCATGACATTGATGTGACGGCTATTGAAGCCATGAGGGACCTGCAGTACACAAATTCACCCTTCCCATCACCCATCCTCCCCATTCCCCACCTATCGACAGCACTGCGTGCTGGATCTATCAGTGATGCATGACATTGACGTGACGGCCAGTGAGGCCATGAGGGAACAGCAATGTCCAACCTCACCTCCCCACTTCCTTCACCGCTTCTCCCGCTGCTTATCACCACATTTCCCCCCTCACCCTGCAGCACTGCGTGCTGGATCTATCAGTGATGCATGATATTGATGTGACGGCCATTGAGGCCATGAGGGACCATCCTAACATGACTTTATCCTTCCATGCCCCCAAACACCCCATCGCCCCCATCCTTCCTGCAGCACTGCGTGTTGGATCTATCAGTGATGCATGACATTGATGTGACGGCCATTGAGGCCATGAGGGACCTTCACCGCGATCTCACACAGATGGGCATCCAGGTGAGCTGGCCTGGCGTGCAGGTGGGATGAGCTGGCGTGCAGGTGGGATGAGATGGTGTGCAGGTGGGATGAGCTGGCATTCTGGTGGACTGAGCTGGCATCCAGTGGGCTGAGCTGTCATACACTTCAGCTCACATGGCACTGTTCGCTAGAGAATCAATCATTCCGTTCCCCAACCTTTTGAGAATTCTCAAAAGTAAAAACCATTCTGTTGGACCCTCAAAAGTAACAACCATTCTTTCTCCTCACATCCCCTTGTTCATCTCCTTCTGTTAGCCCCTTCTGGCCCACCCCTCGTTGTCCCTTTCCCTCAAGTATCCCCCTCCCCTTTCCTCTCACTCCCTACCCTCCCACAGTGCCCCTGGTCATGGTGATAGCAGTGCCTGGCGAGTGTCAACAGAGACGTGCTGAGGAAGATGTTTGACGCTCAACTACTCGCAGAGATAGGCGAGCAGTGGCTCTTCTAACGTGCCTCACTCCCTCACTTTCTCCACTCCATCCCCTTCCCTCCTATCCTCCCGGCAGCTGTGCCTGGCGAGTGCCAACAGGGACGTGCTGCGCAAGATGTTTGACGCACAACTACTCGCAGAGATAGGTGAGCAGTGGCTCTTCGTCACTCCTGCCGATGCTGTCAAGCTGTGCCGTGCCGTGGCTTTGTCCCGACCGGCTGCCAAGGAGACCGAGGAGCTGCTGAACACTGTGCCGTCGTTTGATATCTAAAGGTGCAGAGGTGGGTAATGCTGGAAGCTCGGCCGTGCTGTGGCGCCCTTTCAGCTTGCTGCCCAAGGGAGTGAGGAGCTGTTGAACGGAGTGAATAATTTCGATATCTAGGGGGAGGGGGGGGCATAATGCCGGCTGTGGTGTGGCGCTGTCTCAGTCTGCTGCCAAGGAGAGAGGAGCTGTTGAACGAAGTGCGGAAAATTGATACTTAGGGGGAGGGGTGGGGGGGGTTTGAATGGGCCCACAATGCTGGAATCTCAGTCGTGACTAGGTGCTCTCCCAGCCGTAGGAAGGCGAGAGAGAAGCTGCTGAGCGGTGTGCAGAATTCTGTTAACTAGGAGATGCTGGATGTTAGGTTGTGCTGCGATGTCCTTTCAGCCTGCTACTAAGGAATGTGAGAGGGGTGCTGTCGAGTCGGGAGCAGAGCTTTGACAGGTATAATTTTGAGCCATGACATAGCTTGACACCCGGTCTTCTTGCGGTCATGGTAAATGACACCCGGTCTTTGGGGTGGTTTACCTTCGTGCTTAGACATAAACGTGAGAGTTATAAGATTCATCAACAAAGCCTGATAGCTGTACAAATCGATGCATACAGGTCCTCACTAGGGTAAGACCACGACTATCTCTTTCAATCGCATGGCCTATCCCTCTCGTGTGCGTCACCAACCTAAAAATGCCCCGCGACGCGCCCAAGCCGGCATGCCATAGAAATTAGCCAACCCGCCAATATCGAAATTTATTTGTCAAGCGGCTTCAGGTCGGAAGCGATGGGGAGAACCACGGGCTTGCCGTCCTCCCCCTCCACCTCCACTCCGCGCGTGTAGGTCAGGAGCGGGTCCAGCGCGCTTTTGCTGAACGGGTCACGCGGCACACCCGCGCCCGCGTTCGGCGGCGCCTTGGAAATATCCGGCGGGTTGTTGATCACTACCCAGCCGCCCAGTAGTCCTCCGAGAAGGAGAAACGTGAGTCCCGCAAGGAACGGGAAGCGGATCGCGAGAGGGTCAATTCCGAGTTGACCGAACACGCCCTTGCCTGTGAGGACTTCCATTGTCAGCGCGCTCGCGAAACCGACCATCGCGAGGCGCCCGACGCTGAGCTCCTGCAGCTGCCCGAATCCGAACCAGGTTCCCGGACCTCCGAGTCCGAACCCGGGGCTGGCGGAAGGTGCGGGAGAGGTGGTAGGCTCGGGTGTGGAGGGATTTGCGGAGTCTGCACGGATGGATAGGTGCGAGATTGCGGAACGGTTGGTAGATGTGGAGAGGGATGTGGAGCCTCTGTGTGCTGGGAGACGCACAGCGACTAGGGAGGGGTTGGTGAGAACGCGGCGATGGGTAGCCTGGAGGCGGCGCGCTCGTAGCGCTGCGACGCTGGGTGTGACAGAGCCGGAAGCTGCGATAGTGGCCATGGCTGAGAAAATCGTGGTGAAGGCGCAGAGTCGGTTAGTAGATTAGTGCTGTGTGTGGTATGGATCCAGCGAGCCTCCTGATACAAAATAGGTAGACTGCGTCTGTTTGATAGATAGTGAGTAATATTTCAATCGGGAGAAAATCCCGAACAAGCAAGCGGCTCGGCGCTAGAGCCGCTGAAAATCCAACCTAAATTCGTGTCGGTTCGCTCACGTGTCACTAGAATAATGCTCGGAGTCATGACGGTCAATGCTGAGGTGGCTGGTGCGCCACGTCTCGAGTACCATGTGGAGCTCGGAGAGCGAGCCACGCTGCGTGATGAACGCATCTGGTGAGGCGAACTACACGTGGCCATAACCTTCGGTTCGGTTTGGACCCCCAACGTCCCAAAACAAAAAACCCGTTTGAGGCCAGGTTTGAAGGCGTGGGGGAATGTCTCACACGAGGGCAGAAGCATCGCGAACCTACACCATCGCTAATTCAGTGCGTAATCGTATCTAAATCAAAGGTTTAGGATCTCAAGATACGGTTACCATTTCCCTCAAGTTTATGCACCTTGAGTGATTGACACTAATTGTTAGTTCTAACTTGATGGTAACGCTAGGGTCAATATCCTACATAGACTGCTGCATTCACGACATAGCAGTCATCATTGCGATCACCAAGTGCTTCTAACGCCACTCCACTTGAACAGATGAGCCCACCATCAACCACTTCAACTCCGATAATCTCACCACTGCCAGCACACATGAGAACGTGCTTGATTAGTCCTGAAGGTTTGAAAATGTGTGTGCACATCTATGGACGTGAGTGGAGTGGAGAGTGGGGAAGAGAGGTGGAGAAAGAAACGGAGAGAAGGGAGAGAGTAAGCTAAAAGGAACAAGGGGGACGAGGAAGTGGAGGAGGAAGGGTGGGGAGAGGGTAAGACGAGGGATTGAGGGAGGAGGAGGAGGAGGAGGGGGAGGAGGGGGAAGAGGGGGAAAGGGGGGAGGGGTAGGAGGGTGAGAAGGGGACCGGGGGTGGGGAGGAGGGTACTCACTAGGGGAACACGGCCTTGACTTGGTCAATATCCAGGTCAGCCTGGAGGTTCCTAGGCACGCCCAGGCGCACCTGAAGCTTCATCTGCTGCCACGACACACCTGGGATGGCACCTGGGGTGGGAAAGGAGACCAGTAAGGCATGGAAGAAACGCAGACTTCAGAAAAGGGGACAGGGAGGGGGGTTGGGGGAGTGTGGATGAAAGAGGGGAGACTGAGGAAGGAAAGAAGCGGTCCGGGTTTGGACGCAATCAAGATCACACCCCCTACCTGTGCGGAAGGCGGGGATGGAGTTAGACGTGATGGCGTTTCGACACGCCTTTATCGCTGCCTTGGTCACATTCTGCCTGCCACGTGGCAAGACAGGATTGGTGGGATAAAACAATGGGTGAAGGATGGAGAAGTGCTGATGAGAGAGCTGTCATTGGACTCCATCATGATTGATCGTTTGTTCTGCAAAGATCGACTTTTGAGTCGACTCAAAAGTCAGCGCTGATGAGAGAGCTGTCATTGGACTCCATCATGATTGATCGTTTGTTCTGAGCTGACTTTTGAGTCGACTCAAAAGTCAGCGCTGATGAGAGAGCTGTCATTGGACTGCATCGTGATTGATCGTTTGTTCTGAGCTGACTTTTGAGTCGACTCAAAAGTCAGCGCTGATGAGAGAGCTGTCATTGGACTCCATCGTGATTGATCGTTTGTTCTGAGCTGACTTTTGAGTCGACTCAAAAGTCAGCGCTGATGAGAGAGCTGTCATTGGACTCCATCGTGATTGATCGTTTGTTCTGAGCTGACTTTTGAGTCGACTCAAAAGTCAGCGCTGATGAGAGAGCTGTCATTGGACTCCATCGTGATTGATCGTTTGTTCTGAGCTGACTTTTGAGTCGACTCAAAAGTCAGCGCTGATGAGAGAGCTGTCATTGGACTCCATCATGATTGATCGTTTGTTCTGAGCTGACTTTTGAGTCGACTCAAAAGTCAGCGCTGATGAGAGAGCTGTCATTGGACTCCATCATGATTGATCGTTTGTTCTGAGCTGACTTTTGAGTCGACTCAAAAGTCAGCGCTGATGAGAGAGCTGTCATTGGACTCCATCATGATTGATCGTTTGTTCTGAGCTGACTTTTGAGTCGACTCAAAAGTCAGCGGTGATGAGAGAGCTGTCATTGGACTCCATCATGATTGATCGTTTGTTCTGAGCTGACTTTTGAGTCGACTCAAAAGTCAGCGGTGATGAGAGAGCTGTCATTGGACTCCATCATGATTGATCGTTTGTTCTGAGCTGACTTTTGAGTCGACTCAAAAGTCAGCGGTGATGAGAGAGCTGTCATTGGACTCCATCATGATTGATCGTTTGTTCTGAGCTGACTTTTGAGTCGACTCAAAAGTCAGCGGTGATGGGAGAGCTGTCATTGGACTCCATCATGATTGATCGTTTGTTCTGAGCTGACTTTTGAGTCGACTCAAAAGTCAGCGGTGATGGGAGAGCTGTCATTGGACTCCATCATGATTGATCGTTTGTTCTGAGCTGACTTTTGAGTCGACTCAAAAGTCAGCGGTGATGGGAGAGCTGTCATTGGACTCCATCATGATTGATCGTTTGTTCTGAGCTGACTTTTGAGTCGACTCAAAAGTCAGCGCTGATGGGAGAGCTGTCATTGGACTCCATCATGATTGATCGTTTGTTCTGAGCTGACTTTTGAGTCGACTCAAAAGTCAGCGCTGATGGGAGAGCTGTCATTGGACTCCACCATGATTGATCGTTTGTTCTGAGCTGACTTTTGAGTCGACTCAAAAGTCAGCGCTGATGGGAGAGCTGTCATTGGACTCCACCATGATTGATCGTTTGTTCTGAGCTGACTTTTGAGTCGACTCAAAAGTCAGCGCTGATGGGAGAGCTGTCATTGGACTCCACCATGATTGATCGTTTGTTCTGAGCTGACTTTTGAGTCGACTCAAAAGTCAGCGCTGATGGGAGAGCTGTCATTGGACTCCACCATGATTGATCGTTTGTTCTGAGCTGACTTTTGAGTCGACTCAAAAGTCAGCGCTGATGGGAGAGCTGTCATTGGACTCCACCATGATTGATCGTTTGTTCTGAGCTGACTTTTGAGTCGACTCAAAAGTCAGCGCTGATGGGAGAGCTGTCATTGGACTCCACCATGATTGATCGTTTGTTCTGAGCTGACTTTTGAGTCGACTCAAAAGTCAGCGCTGATGGGAGAGCTGTCATTGGACTCCACCATGATTGATCGTTTGTTCTGAGCTGACTTTTGAGTCGACTCAAAAGTCAGCGCTGATGGGAGAGCTGTCATTGGACTCCACCATGATTGATCGTTTGTTCTGAGCTGACTTTTGAGTCGACTCAAAAGCCAGCGCTGATGGGAGAGCTGTCATTGGACTCCACCATGATTGATCGTTTGTTCTGAGCTGACTTTTGAGTCGACTCAAAAGCCAGCGCTGATGGGAGAGCTGTCATTGGACTCCACCATGATTGATCGTTTGTTCTGAGCTGACTTTTGAGTCGACTCAAAAGTCAGCGCTGATGGGAGAGCTGTCATTGGACTCCACCATGATTGATCGTTTGTTCTGAGCTGACTTTTGAGTCGACTCAAAAGCCAGCGCTGATGGGAGAGCTGTCATTGGACTCCACCATGATTGATCGTTTGTTCTGAGCTGACTTTTGAGTCGACTCAAAAGCCAGCGCTGATGAGAGATCTGTCATTGGACTCCACCATGATTGATCGTTTGTTCTGAGCTGACTTTTGAGTCGACTCAAAAGTCAGCGCTGATGGGAGAGCTGTCATTGGACTCCACCATGATTGATCGTTTGTTCTGAGCTGACTTTTGAGTCGACTCAAAAGTCAGCGCTGATGGGAGAGCTGTCATTGGACTCCACCATGATTGATCGTTTGTTCTGAGCTGACTTTTGAGTCGACTCAAAAGTCAGCGCTGATGCGAGAGCTGTCATTGGACTCCACCATGATTGATCGTTTGTTCTGAGCTGACTTTTGAGTCGACTCAAAAGTCAGCGCTGATGGGAGAGCTGTCATTGGACTCCACCATGATTGATCGTTTGTTCTGAGCTGACTTTTGAGTCGACTCAAAAGTCAGCGCTGATGGGAGAGCTGTCATTGGACTCCACCATGATTGATCGTTTGTTCTGAGCTGACTTTTGAGTCGACTCAAAAGTCAGCGCTGATGGGAGATCTGTCATTGGACTCCACCATGATTGATCGTTTGTTCTGAGCTGACTTTTGAGTCGACTCAAAAGTCAGCGCTGATGGGAGAGCTGTCATTGGACTCCACCATGATTGATCGTTTGTTCTGAGCTGACTTTTGAGTCGACTCAAAAGTCAGCGCTGATGGGAGAGCTGTCATTGGACTCCACCATGATTGATCGTTTGTTCTGAGCTGACTTTTGAGTCGACTCAAAAGTCAGCGCTGACGGGAGAGCTGTCATTGGACTCCACCATGATTGATCGTTTGTTCTGAGCTGACTTTTGAGTCGACTCAAAAGCCAGCGCTGAGGGGAGAGCTGTCATTGGACTCCACCATGATTGATCGTTTGTTCTGAGCTGACTTTTGAGTCGACTCAAAAGCCAGCGCTGATGAGAGATCTGTCATTGGACTCCACCATGATTGATCGTTTGTTCTGAGCTGACTTTTGAGTCGACTCAAAAGTCAGCGCTGATGGGAGAGCTGTCATTGGACTCCACCATGATTGATCGTTTGTTCTGAGCTGACTTTTGAGTCGACTCAAAAGTCAGCGCTGATGGGAGAGCTGTCATTGGACTCCACCATGATTGATCGTTTGTTCTGAGCTGACTTTTGAGTCGACTCAAAAGTCAGCGCTGATGGGAGAGCTGTCATTGGACTCCACCATGATTGATCGTTTGTTCTGAGCTGACTTTTGAGTCGACTCAAAAGTCAGCGCTGATGAGAGAGCTGTCATTGGACTCCACCATGATTGATCGTTTGTTCTGAGCTGACTTTTGAGTCGACTCAAAAGTCAGCGCTGATGGGAGAGCTGTCATTGGACTCCACCATGATTGATCGTTTGTTCTGAGCTGACTTTTGAGTCGACTCAAAAGTCAGCGCTGATGGGAGAGCTGTCATTGGACTCCACCATGATTGATCGTTTGTTCTGAGCTGACTTTTGAGTCGACTCAAAAGTCAGCGCTGATGGGAGATCTGTCATTGGACTCCACCATGATTGATCGTTTGTTCAGAGCTGACTTTTGAGTCGACTCAAAAGTCAGCGCTGATGGGAGAGCTGTCATTGGACTCCACCATGATTGATCGTTTGTTCTGAGCTGACTTTTGAGTCGACTCAAAAGTCAGCGCTGATGGGAGAGCTGTCATTGGACTCCACCATGATTGATCGTTTGTTCTGAGCTGACTTTTGAGTCGACTCAAAAGTCAGCGCTGATGGGAGAGCTGTCATTGGACTCCACCATGATTGATCGTTTGTTCTGAGCTGACTTTTGAGTCGACTCAAAAGTCAGCGCTGATGGGAGAGCTGTCATTGGACTCCACCATGATTGATCGTTTGTTCTGAGCTGACTTTTGAGTCGACTCAAAAGTCAGCGCTGATGGGAGATCTGTCATTGGACTCCACCATGATTGATCGTTTGTTCTGAGCTGACTTTTGAGTCGACTCAAAAGTCAGCGCTGATGGGAGAGCTGTCATTGGACTCCACCATGATTGATCGTTTGTTCTGAGCTGACTTTTGAGTCGACTCAAAAGTCAGCGCTGATGGGAGAGCTGTCATTGGACTCCACCATGATTGATCGTTTGTTCTGAGCTGACTTTTGAGTCGACTCAAAAGTCAGCGCTGATGGGAGAGCTGTCATTGGACTCCACCATGATTGATCGTTTGTTCTGAGCTGACTTTTGAGTCGACTCAAAAGTCAGCGCTGATGGGAGAGCTGTCATTGGACTCCACCATGATTGATCGTTTGTTCTGAGCTGACTTTTGAGTCGACTCAAAAGTCAGCGCTGATGAGAGATCTGTCATTGGACTCCACCATGATTGATCGTTTGTTCTGAGCTGACTTTTGAGTCGACTCAAAAGTCAGCGCTGATGGGAGAGCTGTCATTGGACTCCACCATGATTGATAGCTTGTTCTGAGCTGACTTTTGAGTCGACTCAAAAGTCAGCGCTGATGGGAGATCTGTCATTGGACTCCACCATGATTGATCGTTTGTTCTGAGCTGACTTTTGAGTCGACTCAAAAGTCAGCGCTGATGGGAGAGCTGTCATTGGACTCCACCATGATTGATCGTTTGTTCTGAGCTGACTTTTGAGTCGACTCAAAAGTCAGCGCTGATGGGAGAGCTGTCATTGGACTCCACCATGATTGATCGTTTGTTCTGAGCTGACTTTTGAGTCGACTCAAAAGTCAGCGCTGATGGGAGAGCTGTCATTGGACTCCACCATGATTGATCGTTTGTTCTGAGCTGACTTTTGAGTCGACTCAAAAGTCAGCGCTGATGAGAGATCTGTCATTGGACTCCACCATGATTGATCGTTTGTTCTGAGCTGACTTTTGAGTCGACTCAAAAGTCAGCGCTGATGGGAGAGCTGTC